ATGTTGATTCTGGAATGTGTCAGAAAAGCTAGATTCTCTTTTATCATCAATGGTAGATCTTCCAATTGGATTGTTGCTGAAAATGGGTTTCGGCAGGGATGCCCTCTTTCCCGATTTCTTTATATTATTTGCTCCCAACTGTTTTCCCTAGCTATGGCACAAGATGGTAAAGATATGGGAATCCAAATTTCCCAAAGAGCTCCAAAAATTAATCATCTATTGTATGCTGATGATGTGTTGATTTTTTCACAAGCTTCAAAGAAAGTAGCTTCCATTTTAAAAAATATTGTGATGAATTTTTTCTCTTGGACTGGACTGAGAGTGAACAACTCCAAATCACAAATCTTGTTTAGCAAATGTATGAATAGAGTTGAGGAAATTCGGGTAAAGAAAATTTTGAATTTTAAAACATTAAAAGAGCTTCAATATTTGGGAGTTAATTTACTGCTTAGAAGACCTGTCAGAAATGATTTCCAATTCCTAATTGATAGAGTTTTGCAAAATTTGAATACCTTGGGAGGAAAGTGTCTCTCGTTAGCTGGAAGGATTGTGCTTGCAAAAACTTCTCTTCGAACTCTTCTTAATTTTTTCTCAACTCATAATTTGGTGCCTAGAAAGGTACTTTCGGAAGTGGATAAGAGCTGCAGGAACTTCATTTGGCATAAGAGCATTGGGATGAAGGGCTTACATTATATATCCTGGAATAATATTTGTAAACCAATTTCTATGGGAGGCTTAAATGTGCATTCGGCTGTGAATAGAGCAGGTCCTCTTAAAGCAAGATTATCATGGAGATTGATTCAGAATTATGATTCTTTGATGGCTCGGGTTATTACGGCTAAGTACGGTGAAAACTTATGGAAAGCAAATTACAAGAGTAATACCTCTATTGCTTGGAAAATTTTACATGAAGGTGCTAAATACTTGAAACCTTTATTAAGGTGGAGAGTGGCTAATGGGAAGAAGATAGATGTTCTTAATGATGTTTGGTTGTTTGATAAAAATCTTAATGAATGGCCAATTACTGCTGATTGCCTGGGGATGGAAGGTTTTAAACTCAGTCACTTCATTGATCTAAATGGATCCTAGAAAGTTGATAAGCTGCTCTGTTACTTTAACCAAAATCTGGTTAATGTTATTTTACATATAAAAATTGAGAAAAAAGCTTCGGAGGATTACTTGGAGGAGATTAACCATTTATCAGGTAAATCTATAACTGCCCGAGCCTATGAAGTGTGCATCATTAGGCACATTAATAAAGCAGATTTGGGTCTTACAAACTGGTTAAGGAAACTAAAACTCAC